TTTTTCCAGACTACTTAACTTTACCCATGGAGAATAACATAGTTGTTAGACCTTATCTAAGAGCAGCGCTACGCTGGTTCATTAAATACATTTTTACTAAAGATAGATAAATTCTTTCAAGCTCTATTGAAAAAGCTATCGCAGGAATTCATAAGTGGTAACACGTACAGAGATAAGCTATATTTGAATACCCTAAACTGCTTACAAAGAAAGTACTCCGCAGAACTCAGCAATGACCAAGTACAGCGTAAGTGAGGTGAAAACCCTTCCTTATGTGCTTTCTCCCACTGCTGTAATGGAACATTAGCATTTCCCCAGTGCTCCTTCACTGAGCTACTGCAATAGCTCGTACTCAAGAACAAATTAAAGCACTCTCTGGGGTTTTTTGCTAACATCGATATGTATTAATTGGAAAGAATATACATTTCCTTATTCTCCCATGTATTTTTCAAGGCTAAATCTTATGATACACTCGTGCCTTCTCAAATCTGGGTACTCAACTCACCAATTTCTTCAAAAAACAATAATAAACCTGGTAAGCTTAGGACATTTTAATAATTTACATTCAAAACTGTCTAAATTGACGCCTTCCTCTGACTCCAGGCACTTTCACAGAATCACAGAATGGTCAGGGTTGGAAGGGACCTCTGTGGGTCATCTAGTCCAACCCTCCTGCCGCAGTCTTTGACGTTTATACATCTAAAAACTTCTGCTGGGGGTAGGGAACTTTATACTGCAAAGCCAACTGACAGTAGGTTTGCTGTTCTTGGTTATCTTTTATAGTGCTCTCATTCATAGTGAATAAGACTTGGACTACAGGTGAAAAACACTGACTGAGGTGTTTACATAGCCCTCCTTTCCACGGCAACTGAATACCCCAGTCACCATGGATTTATTTTTGATTCAACAATGTGAATTAGAAGAGTGCTATTTTTCTCTTGTTTAAAAACAAACAAACAGAAATCAAAGATTAGCTGCCCAAATCCATCCTTATGAACCTACTTAATGTAAAAAAATCCAGCAACTCTTGTTCACAATATCCATGGGCAGGCCAGGATTCTCAGTCCCATTTATCATTTCCACTAGGGATTTGATCTTCTGAATCCTTATTCACAGCATTTTTATTTGTTCAGTGTTCAGATTCGGCTTCTCAACTTCTCAGAGTGCAAATGAAGACAGACAAGACGTGAACTGTAGGAGCAAAAATGAGGTAAGCGCAGTCATTTCCAGCCTGTCCAGGTCTTGCTGAATGGCAGCACAGCCTGCTAGTGTATCCACCACTGCTCCCGGTTTTGTGTCATCAGCAAACTTGCGCTTTAAAACTTGTACACTTTAACACCATTAATAACATGACAAAACCCTAGCAGCATTAGAATAATTATTTCAACAGAAAACTAGCCATTCTGACCTCTACAGATACTCATTTCCATCCTTAATCATTAATTCTTTTCACAAATTGCTATCAAACAGATGTCTTTTGCACAAAAATATGACTAGATTCAGGCTAATTCAGGCTTTAAAACTTGTACACTTTAACACCATTAATAACATGACAAAACCCTAGCAGCATTAGAATAATTATTTCAACAGAAAACTAGCCATTCTGACCTCTACAGATACTCATTTCCATCCTTAATCATTAATTCTTTTCACAAATTGCTATCAAACAGATGTCTTTTGCACAAAAATATGACTAGATTCAGGCTAATTCAGATGATGACAGAAAACCAGTCCCACAGTCCTGGAGAATGCCCTGCCACCTGCTCCATTGGTTATATTAGGAGAGAAAACCAACTGGCTGCTGATGACTCAGATAAACTGGTCTCTGATCGTTTCAAGCTTTACAAGGCAGAACCAGTACCTTAAACACACTTAGTAACCAGTGGTCATCCAAACCGATGCCAAGCAAGATGTTCTGCTTCATAAAGGAACTCCTGGTTCTGCTCCCACCACTTGGGCAGGGTGGCCACAGCATCAGCTGTAAGCAGGATGTATTCTGCATCTCATTTGCCATTGATTCTCACAGCTGTCTTGTCAAATACTTACAGCCTGTGGGAACGTGCCTGTGAGTACGCTGGTTTGCCAGGCATCCTTGAAAATGCATGTGTTACGGGTGTCACGCTCAGATGGCACTTGTGTGGTAAGCTGCAGTGTATTCAGAACCACTCCAGGGCTATCGATTGCAGACAGTACAAAGAATGATGTTTTCCGGAAAAGTTGAGTTATAGAGTGCACTCCACAGTTCTCTTGGAGTGTCCACTGCAATCATTGCTTGCTTTGAATGCGCAAAGGTAATTTAAAAGCTACTTCAGTATTAATGTCATGTAATTTTCACACTAACAGTTCAAGGTAAACAAGTTCCAACCACACACACAAACCCTTTGTGCTTTTTAAAGCTACCAAGTGCATACCATAAAGACAAGTCTCACTTTATCCTTTGTAATCACTGTGACTTTTTTTCCGTGTAGTTATTCAGATCTCATTCCAGAATCATCATCAAGTTAATTAACAGATTTCAGTTTGTTCTGTGTTTAAGGGGAGACTGTTTGTGGCTTAACTCTGAGAAAATCCACAAAAGAAGGCAGCAGCTTGTTTTTCAGCTCCTGTCTTTGCATCTTCTGCTCAAGAGCCAGGAAAAAGGGAAGAATGTAAATTAGGAAGCACACATATCTTGCAGGATTAGCACCACACATTTCTCAGAAGGCAGCGAAGTGACAGCACACCTTCCATTCTCAAGACAGAAAAACTGATTATGTACCATTTCACGGGTGGGGTTTTTTCGTGTTTCTCTGCCAAGCTGCTGATCTGAAAACTTATTTATATTTCATTCATCCCTCTTTCATTATAGCAGGTCTTCCATTGGCAATATAGTTGTTTATATTATAATACTGCCTCAAGTGAGGTCAAAACCGTACAATGCAAACATATGCAACATACAAATATAATGTGCAGTATAGGAAATCTATCAGGATTCGCTTGGTGAATAATCCTCGAAGATATATTTCACAATGTGAATATCAATTATCTAAAACTACCACAAGGCCAAGAGAATCAGAATGTACAAAATGAATTTGCTTGTAAGGATCTATTCCTCCAGAAATTTAAATGAAAATGCAGAGAAATTTTACCAAGTAATCCCAAGAGTGTAAGTCCAGGAAGCAAAAGGCCAAAACCATTAGATATTGTCTCACTAAGTATATTCTGCAGCCAAAAGCTCAATTCAGATCAGCTTCTTTATGGTGCATAAGTATTTCACTGCAAAAAAAAAAATTCTAATGCTCATGGTTATTAACGAAATGTCTGCTTCTGGCATTTAAAATTTAAACCATGATGGTCCCACTAGATTAACCTGACACTATGCGTCTCACGGACCACCAGATTTCAACTTCTATTCATCCAATAAAATAAAGCATAACTTCTACTTGGCTAAAAAATAATTTTCAGAAACACATTGAATTGTCAACAGAAGATGTAAAATGATGGAAAATCCTCACCTTCTCTTGGGAATGTGTTCTGGTGGTTAACCACGTAAAAATGTGTGTCTTATTTCCATTTGAATTTGTCTGGCTTTTGCCTCCAGCCATTACTTCTTATTATGCCTTTCTTCAATAGATTAAAGAGCCCTTTAACATTCTGTGTGTTCCCCCAGGAATGTTCCTATACACTACAATCAAGTCACCTCCCAATCCTCTTCTAGATAACTTTTAACAGCCTGAGCTCTTAAAACTTCCCAGTGTAATGCATTTTCTCCAACCATCAGAACATTTTGCTTCACTCTTTTAACCTCCCTTATTTTCCAACGTGCTGCTTAAAAAATGAAAATCAGAACTGTATGCACTGTCCTGTGGATGGCATTGTGGAAGCCAAACATCAGAAGTAAAATAAACATTTTTTTAATTCCTTGGTTTATACATTGATTAATCCTTTTCTGCCATAACAGCACACAGGAGAGCCCTTATCCGATTGCTTATTTATTCTGACCCTTAAATCCTTCTCAAAGTCATTACCTTCCCAGGATATAGTCTCCTATTCTCCAGTTATAGTTTCTACACTTGGTTCTTAAGATAGACAACTATATAGTCGGCTGGATTAAAATTCACTATGTTTGAATGGGCTCCTTCTACCAACCGTTCTGATCAGTGCCCCATCCTCATTGCTATTTACGACTCCATTGATCCTGGAGCTGAATTTAGCAGCAGGTTTAGATCTGCTTCCAGATCAGTGCTAAAAAAGTAATACAACATTGAACCTACTCCTGGAACCTCTTTAGAGACCTACTCTTTCAAATACGCTCTCCTCTTCTTGAGATCTGGCAGCAAATTCCATTTGCATGGTTTATTGGCACGGCATGCACTCAATGTTAATATCATGCAGCACTGAGTCAAGTACCTCCTCAAAACACTGTTAATAGCTATTTTTACTAAAATACCATGTAGACTTGTATCATAGCCCTTCATTTCAACTTTTTATTATTTGAATTCCACATCAGATTTCCTATTTTGGTTAGGATAGCTACTAAGCTAACTAGTCATTCAGGTCATATTGCTCACTCTTTTAAAAAATGGCACAAAACAGCACATTCATCGCTTGTTTAACCTCCTAATTTTAAGGCAAGATACAAATACACTGGAGTGTTAGAAAGCCATAGATCAGCGCCAGTTGGATAGGCAGAAGCATCAGAGAGCACCAGTGACCAAAGCTCGCGTTCCGCACGGCATTTCCAGGATGGAAACCCCAGCAACTGTGGCCTTTTAAA